ATTCTCCATTTGCCTCCAGTCATTCAACAGAGGCAGACCTGGCTGTATTCAGGGAGAGAGTTAGGGACAGAAAACATTAGTTAGGGCCACAGAATCGTTACTTAGGGCCATAGAAACGTTACATAGGGCCACAGAAACGTTACTTAGGGCCACAGAATCGTTAGTTAGGGCCACAGAAACGTTACTTAGGGCCACAGAAACGTTACTTAGGGACACAGAATTGTTACTCAGGGACAGACAGAATTGTTACTGAGGGATACAGAATTGTTACTGAGGGCCACAGAATCGTTACTTAGGGCCACGGAAACGTTACTTAGGGCCACAGAATGTTACTTAGGGACAGACACAGAATTGTTACTGAGGGACACAGATTTGTTACTGAGGGCCACAGAATCGTTACTTAGGGCCACAGAATCGTTACTGAGGGCCACAGAACCGTTACTTAGGGCCACAGAAATGTTACTTAGGGCCACAGAATTGTTACTTAGGGACAGACACAGAATTGTTACTGAGGGTCACAGAATCGTTACTTAGGGCCACAGAAACGTTACTTAGGGACACAGAATTGTTACTGAGGGACAGACACAGAATTGTTACTGAGGGATACAGAATTGTTACTGAGGGCCACAGAAACGTTACTTAGGGCCACAGAAACGTTACTTAGGGCCACAGAAACGTTACTTAGGGCCACAGAATTGTTACTTAGGGACAGACACAGAATTGTTACTGAGGGTCACAGAACCGTTACTTAGGGCCACAGAAACGTTACTTAGGGCCACAGAAACGTTACTCAGGGACACAGAATTGTTACTCAGGGACACAGAATTGTTACTCAGGGACACAGAATTGTTACTCAGGGACACAGATTTCAGAATTGTTACTCAGGGACACAGAATTGTTACTGAGGGACACAGAATTGTTACTGAGGGACACAGAATTGTTACTGAGGGACACAGAATTGTTACTCAAGGACAGACACAGAATTGTTACTGAGGGACACAGAATTGTTACTGAGGGCCACAGAACTGTTACTTAGGGCCAGAGAAACGTTACTCAGGGACACAGAATTGTTACTCAGGGACAGACACAGAATTGTTACTCAGGGACAGACACAGAATTGTTACTGAGGGACACAGAATTGTTACTGAGGGACACAGAATTGTTACTGAGGGCCACAGAACTGTTACTTAGGGCCACAGAAACGTTACTCAGGGACACAGAATTGTTACTCAGGGACAGACACAGAATTTGTTACTCAGGGACACAGAATCGTTTAATTAAAGAGTATGTCAGACAACATGCAGAGGAGTGGCAGAGGAGGCAATGTTTTAGGAGCGAGCAGACGTGGCAGCAGAGGAAGGGGTCGAGGCAGCACTATTCGCAGCCAGAGGCCAGTGCTCCCGGTGTCATCCAGCGGTCGTGTCTCCACCGACAACCCTGCCGTCATCGATTGGTTGGCTCGGTCGTCTTCCTCTTCCCAGGTCACCTCTGACACCTACAGCCACGGTCGGTGGGTACGTCAGACACAACCGTTAGTTGGCATGGCCCGGGAGCAAGCCCACTGAAATCACGTGTCCTCTACCTGCCTCTGTCCTTTGGTGTTCCCTCACCAAGCGAAGTATCGCATGCTGTGGGCTCAGCCCCACTGTACAGTGAGGAAGAGCTAACAGAGGGCGGTCAGGAACGGGGGGAGACATCCCTCTTCAGCAGCCAGGCGAAGAAGTAGTGGCGAGGAGAGTGGCTCGGTAGCCGGTCTAGAGACAGGTCTGTCTCCTGACCCACACGCAGCCGAGGGGGCTAGTAGTGAGGCGGAGACCCTAATTGATGATGATGAGGGCTGATCGCACTTGGCAGCCTCGTCGTCATCAGGCTATTGCTTCCGCATCATCAGGAGAAGAGGGTGGCAGCTTGGCAGCGAGCAAAACAGTCGGTGGGTTGCCCAGGAGGCAGCAGGGTCGCAGCAGTGTCAGTGGAGGCAAACGGCCACGGAGTAGAGCACCAGCTCCACTGCAGCCTACCACCACGGCCAGTAGTGGTGCCGGTGTGCACGGAGGAAGCAGCAGTCAGCCAGTGAGGAGTATCGGGGGCAAAGTTTCCTACTCGGCGGTGTGGCAATTTTTTGTCAAGCCGCCCGAGGAAGTAAACGTAGCCGTATGTCGACTATGTGGCCAGAAAGTCAAGCGTGGCCAGGGGGCCCATGTTGGGACTACAGCGTTGCGGCAGCATATGCAGCGTCGCCATTTGGTGGCCTGGGAAAACCGTGATAAAGATACGGCGGTTCTGCCCGCCCCAGCCCCCGCTCCATCACCCGCTCCGTTACTTGCTCCGTCACCCGACGTCAATCGCCCTCTATCAGCCAGTCAAGGCTCCAACACCTCTGCTGAGGGGAGTTGTCGCTCGTTGCCATCTTCCGCTCGTTCAGATGCTCCTTCTCCTGCTACTCCTCTTCACGGATTCCGTCAGCAGTCTTTCTTGGAATCCGTTTCCAAGAGACAACAGTTTGCGAGCACGCACCCGACGGTGCAAAAGCTGAACGTCCTCCTGTCCAAGTTGCTGGTGCTGCAGTCCCTCCCTTTCCAAGTGGTGGACTCAGCACCTTTCCGAGAAATGATGGCTTGTGCCGCGCCGCGGTGGAGAGTGCCAAGCCGTCATTTCTTCGCCAAAAAGGCAGTGCCAGCCCTGCATTCACATGTAGAAGAGATGGTGGGCCAGTCTTTGAGCATGTCGGTCTCTGCCAAAGTGCACGGCAGCGCCGACGTGTGGAGCTGTAACTACGGTCAGGGACAGTACATGTCATTTACGGCCCACTGGGTGAACGTGGTGCCGTCACAGCCGCACCAGCAACTTGGACAGGTCACGCCGCTTTTTGCCTCCACGTTTGCACGTCCTTGGTCCACAAAAGATGTCCGCCTCTACCACCTCTTCTTCCTTCGTGTCCTCAGCCGCCACCCCCCGTGCCAAGTCCCATTACCCGACCGGCATATCACATGTGCAGGGCGCAACGGTGTCACGCTGTGCTGCACCTGGTATGCCTTGGCGAACGTAGTCACACAGGGGAGGAACTTCTCAGTGTAATGAACAGAGAAATCGACAGATGGCTGTCTCCGCGCAAACTGAAAATCGGAACCATGTTGACCGACAACGGAAAGAACATGGTGTCTGCTCTGCGTCAAGGAAGGTTGTGCCATGCGCCATGCATGGCTCACGTGTTCAATCTGGTTGTCAAGCGGTTCCTAAAATCCACCATCCCACTGCAAGACATCCTTAAAATGTCACGTAAACTTTGCATGCATTTCAGCCATTCCTACACCGCAAAGCACACCCTCCTTGAGCTGCAGCGGCAGAACGGAATTCCACAGCATCGCCTGATCTGCGACGTTGCAACAAGGTGGAATTCAACCCTACACATGTTAGACCGCCTTTACGAACAGCGAAAGGCCATCACCGATTTCCTGATGTTACAAGCGGATAAAGGTACTCCCCTGTGTAACTTCGATGTCAGCCATTGGCAGCTCATGCGTGACACCTGCCGCTTGCTCAGGCCCTTTGAGGAGGCCACGCTATTCGTGAGTCGGCAGGACTATGGGATGAACGACGTCATTCCTCTGTTGCACGTCCTGGAACAAATGCTGTTAACAATGGCTGGTCAGGGTGCGGTAGACGTGGCGCACAGATCTCAACGCCACATGACCCCTGTGGGGGCAGGACAGGAAGAAGAGGAGGAGGTAGAGGAGGACATTTGTGCTCAGGAATTATTGAGTGAAATGGGTGGTTTTTCCACTCAGCGGACAGGAGTGGAGGAGCAGGAGCATCTGGTAGAGGAGGAGGAGGAGGAGACAGAGGACCCAGACGCACCGTGGCAGTATGCTGTGGAGATGGAGGCAGGGAGTCCCTCGCATTCCTTGGCACAAATGGCCCATAGCATGCTCGGTTGCTTGCGTAGCGACAGCCGAATAATAACCATCAGACAGAGGGATGACTTTTGGCTGTCCACCTTGTTGGACCCTCGCTACCGTTCAAAAATGGTGGCCTTTTTCACACCTGCTGAGAGGGAGGCCAAAATAACGTACTATAAAAACCACCTATGTAGTCAGTTGGTCTCTGCCTTTGTGCGCCAACGTCCATCCTCAGACACTGTGGGCCCTGTGCGCTCGCGTTCCGCTGCCATGGCAGCAGGGGGGGGTGGGGTGGTAGGAGCAGTGGTAGCTCCACCAGCAGCGGCTGCCTCAGTCTGCAGTCGATGATGAGTAGCTTTCTTCACCAGCGCAGTGAGGAAACTACTAACCAGCCGCAGCAGCAGCAGCAGCATCAGGTGGACCTGGAGCAGGACCTCAAACAACAGGCTTGGGCCTACTTGGACAGCACCCTGCCAACCGAGGTAGACAATCCCCTTGACTACTGGGCAACGAAACTTGACCTTTGGCCCCAACTAGCTGAATTTGCCCTTGAAAGGCTGTCATGCCCGGCCAGTAGCGTGGCATCGGAGCGCGTGTTTAGTGCGGCAGGAGGTATTGTAACTCCGCGGAGGACACGACTGTCCACCCAAAGTGTGGAGAGACTCACGTTTGTGAAAATGAATCAGGCGTGGATTAGTCTGGATTTCAAACCACCAGTTCCTGACACAACTGACTAAATCCGCCATGAATCATGCCCCAAACATGTGCCACTTTCAGGTCTCCTCACACTGCTGGTGTGTTCCATTTTTTGTCATAGGGTGCTGGCAGATTACGGGCCTCCCATAGCTGCTGCCAGGCCCCTAATCTGCCATGGGCCCCTATACCGCCTCCTCATGCTGCTGCCAGGTCCAGAGTCTGTCATGGGTCCCTGTACGGCCTCCCATTGCTGCTGTCTCCATCGCCACACTCTGCCATGTGCCACTTTCAGGTCTCCTCACACACTGCTGGTGTGTTCCATTTTTTGACATAGGGTGCTGGCAGATTACGGGCCTCCCATAGCTGCTGCCAGGCCCCTAATCTGCCATGGGCCCCTATACCGCCTCCTCATGCTGCTGCCAGGTCCAGAGTCTGTCATGGGTCCCTGTACGGCTCCTCCATTGCTGCTGTGTCTCCATCGCCACACTCTGCCATGTGCCACTTTCAGGTCTCCTCACACACTGCTGGTGTGTTCAATTTTTTGACATAGGGTGCTGGCAGATTACGGGCCTCCCATAGCTGCTGCCAGGCCCCTAATCTGCCATGGGCCCCTGTACCGCCTCCTCATGCTGCAGCTCATGAGTCCTGTAGGTCCCCATGTCCACACTCTGCCATGTGCCACTTTCAGGTCTCCTCACACTGCTGGTGTGTTCAATTTTTTGACATAGGGTGCTGGCAGATTACGGGCCTCCCATAGCTGCTGCCAGGCCCCTAATCTGCCATGGGCCCCTGTACCGCCTCCTCATGCTGCTGCCCAAGTGCCAGGTCCACAGTGTCTCATGCCATGTGCCACTTTCAGGTCCTCACACTGCTGGTGTGTTCAATTTTTTGACATAGGGTGCTGGCAGATTACGGGCCTCCCATAGCTGCTGCCAGGCCCCTAATCTGCCATGGGCCCCTATTACCGCCTCCTCATGCTGCTGCCAAGTCCAGAGTCTGTCATGGGTCCCTGTACGGCCTCCCATTGCTGCTGTCTCCATCGCCACACTCTGCCATGTGCCACTTTCAGGTCTCCTCACACACTGCTGGTGTGTTCAATTTTTTGACATAGGGTGCTGCGCAGATTTACGGGCCTCCCATAGCTGCTGCCAGGCCCCTTAATCTGCCATGGGCCCCTGTACCGCCTCTTCCATCATGCTGCTGCCAGGTCCACAGTGTCTCATGCCATGTGCCACTTTCAGGTCTCCTCACACTGCTGGTGTGTTAAATTTTTTGACATAGGGTGCTGGCAGATTACGGGGCCTCCCATAGCTGCTGCCAGGACCCCTAATCTGCCATGGGCCCCTATACCGCCTCCTCATCGCTGCTGCCAAGTCCAGAGTCTGTCATGGGTCCCTGTACGGCCTCCCATGCTGCTGTCTCCATCGCCACACTCTTCCATGTGCCACTTTCAGGTCTCCTCACACTGCTGGTGTGTGTATAATTTTTTGACATAGGGTGCTGGCAGATTACGGGCCTCCCATAGCTGCTGCCCAGGCCCCTAAATCTGCCATGGGCCCCTATACCGCCTCCTCATGCTGCTGCCAAGTCCAAAGTCTCTCATGGGTCCCTGTACGGCCTCCCATTGCTGCTGTCTCCATCGCCACACTCTGCCATGTGCCACTTTCAGGTCTCCTCACACACTGCTGGTGTGTTCAATTTTTTGACATAGGGAAGCTGGCAGATTAAGGGCCTCTCCATCTTATTGAGCTGCTGGGGGGGCCCCTAATCTGCCATGGGCCCTGTACCGCCTCCTCAAGCTGCTGCCTAGAGGTCCACAGTGTCTCATGCCATGTGCCACTTTCAAGGGTCTCCTCACTCTGCTGGTGTGTTCAATTTTTTGACATAGGGTGCTGGCAGATTACGGGCTCCATAGCTGCGGCCAGGCCCCTAATCTGCCAGACAGGGCCCCCTATTTACCGCCTCCTCCTGCTGCTGCCAAGTCCAGAGTCTCTCATGGGTCCCTGTACGGCCTCCATTGCTGCTGGTCTCCATCGCCACACTCTGCAAGCCTGTGCACTTTCAGGTCTCCTCACACACTGCTGGTGTGTTCAATTTTTTGACATAGGGTTTGCTGCAGATTAGGGCCTCCCCATTGCTGCTGCCAGGACCCTAATCTGCCATGGGGCCCCTGTACCCCCCCCGCCTCTTCATGCTGCTGCCAGGTCCAGAGTGTGTCATGGGTCCCTGTACGGCCTCCCATTGCTGCTGTCTCCATCGCCACACTCTTTCCATGTGCCATTTTCAGATCTCCTCACAACTGCTGGTGTGTTCCATTTTTGTCATAGGGTGCTGGCAGATTACGGGCCTCCCATAGCTGCTGCCAGGCCGTTATCTGCCATGGGCCCCCGTACCGACAACTCCTCATGCTGCTGCCAGGCCCGTAAATTGTCATGGGCCCCTGTGTACCGCCCCGCCTCTTGCTGCTGCCAGGTCCAGAGTGTGTCATGGGTCCCTGCCCAAATGAGTGAAGTGTTGTGCGGTGATTCTAAGATCGACGGCACTCATCTGCATGTCATACTGACTGTCAGTATTATTTCTCTTCCCCAGCAGACTCCAAGGGCATTTAAATTAAAGGTACAGTGTTCTGCACTAATATAAAGGCTCTCTGAGCCCTAGAAACACCCTTTTATAAGTTAAATTCGCAGCGAATTATATTCGACTCGAATCAAAATTTTTCCACGAATTCGCTCGAATCAGTCGAATCGAATTTTTGAATACTTCGCTCATCTCTAGTCAAGAGCTGGGCCAAATGGCTGGCAAATAGTTTGTACTATTTAGGTGTAAGCTCATCGGGTCCTGGACATTTGCCTTCTATAGAAGACCTTGATTGGCCTCGAGAGAATTTCTGGGTTCCCCGAGAAAGGTTTCCACCAGATCCAAAAACGTCCTGGGCGTGTCTAAAACCGGTAGAGCCTTTTTCGGCTATATCCCTGAGACATCAGCGGGAGACAAGTATCCGGTGAAACATCAGACGGTGTGGAGGTTAAATATAGGTTGAGAGTAAATAGCGTTATCGAATACAGAAGAAATACCATTGTTATGAAAGATCTTAGTCTTGCTATGAGCAGCTCGAATATGTTGAATCGGGCGGTGGGAAGGTCGTGGATGAAGTGTACATGAGCCAGAGTGTTGGGCCACACTTGTTAGCTATATGAATTAGATGAGTAATTACAGGGCCTTATCTTGTATAACAAGGGGAGGAGGAGTCTAAGTGTTTGAAAGAAGGTCCTCTATAGGCATTAGGATAATTTCTACTGCCGAGAATCGGGTATTCAATGTGTATGTTTATGAGAGAGATTCCAGGGTCGGCAATTGACGTGAAAATAGACACAAAGCATTTCTCGACCGTTCAAGCCTGCTTTAGACGTGTGAGCCATGTTGTATTAATTACACCTCTGATGACACACTTGAGGGAGTTCTCCACTGAGGTGAGGGGGACCCTGTGGTGTCTAATTTATGATCCAAAACTAAAAATTTAGGAGTAGCCTATGTTGACCTCCGGTGAAGCATTAGAGTAGCCCTTTACAGTTAAAGTTATCATTTAAGAGCCACGAAAAAAGTAACGTAAAGGCGTTGGGACAGGTCGTGAAACTCTGAGATGGTATGGGAGCGTGATCTGACCATAAAAAAGTGACCCATAGAATGAGGACGTCGGGCAATTAAAAAAGGATTGGGAGATAAAAAAAAAATTGTTGATATGGCCTGTATTGATGTTGTGCTGGTCGAGTAAAAAGCTATAATCCTGTTCTGGAGGGACGTTGAGCCACAAAACCTCACACCAACACATCTACCAGTTGTAGAACGTTCGTAAGCATGACCTGTAATTAGTGTCAGCATCGAGGAGGGGAGAGAAGATTTTACTGCAGAAGTGTCTAAGCAAGGAGCGAGAGAGCTACGTTTTAAAAGTCCCCTCCAACAATAAAACAAGGGCCACCAAAAAGCAGAGATCTCGAGAGAGGACTGGCGCAAGAAAAGTGCCCAGGATCCTGGTTAGAGCGTAAATGTTTGCAAGACCGTGAAACAAAGTCATGGTGGTCCCTAGTTTGAGGAAGAGGTAACGGACCTTCCGGTCAACGAAAGAGTCCAAGACCTCATTCCATCATTGCTTCACCGGTTTAACCCCAACGTATCAGATTTGTGTTGAGATTGCCATCAAAAGACGGGTAAACCTTCTACACATTTGGTGGGCTCTACACATTGTGTTGCACCCTTCTGGGGGAAAGTCCAATACACAATTGCACAAGTTACTACGTATGCCCTAGACCTTTCCCCCGCGCAATTCCTACTCCATCATACCGTACTTCCATTTCGGACTTACCGCAAATCACTTGCCATGCATATGGTAAATGCTGCTAAGCAATGTATCCCAGTCCACTGGCGCTCAACACACGTTCCCACTATACGAGAATGGTTTGCTAGGATTGACAAAAACTGAGGAAATGGAGGAACTGATTTCTGTAGCTAAGGAACATCCCGAGAGATTCAGAAAAACTTGGTCATGCTGGAGTAATTTCAAATCCACACTTACCTATCATCTAACAGTACACAATCAACAGAAACCCTCTGGCTGAATGTCTATTTACAATGCTGTAGGGGAAATACCCTGATAACTGAAGACACAACCTCCCTCACACATAAGGATGGTCTGTGGATCTACACCTCACTATGCCTTTTGGGGTTCGTGATCCACGGGTTACCCCACTGAACAATCCTGTACGTATATTTTAAGCTCTAATAATACCTGTCTGGCTTGGCTAATACATGAGGAGGTAATCCCTTCTTTACCCCCCCCCCCCCCCCCCCCCCCCCCCCCCAACCTCTCTCTTACTGTCTTTCTTTCTAACCTCCTTTTTTCACACCTGTTATTTGCTTGTATCACTTAGTCTCTACCAGCCAAATAGAGCATTTACCTGTACACAGTTATGACTAACTTCAACTATAGCATATACTCTAGTTATGAATATGTAAACAATGACCGGCACAATATCCAATGCTTTCCCCACCCCTATTATCACACTACCTCACCATTAAAAAGTTGACGAGAGTCAAGACGAGATAACACTCACCAACACTACTTCACCCATTTGCCTCTTGTTATCCACCATTTTGCATTGTATGATTGATGTAATGTTTTACACCACTTCGTCTTGTACAACTGTTTACAATTTGCCCTGTCTGCCAAACGGGAAGCAACATGTTATGTCGCTGTTTTTACTGTGATCTATGGCTGTACATGCTCTAAATGCTTTTTTTGTCTTCTCTTTATAACAATAAAGTATTTTTGGGAGTATAAAAACGATTACAGAGAACCGGGATACTATCTGAATGAAAATGTGTCTCATGCAGAAATAAACTCTGTGATCTATGTTTGTGGAAGTGGTAAAGCATCAGGCTCCGCTTCTCTGGGGTTTTAAAGCCCTTACAGTTAATAGATGAAAGATTAATCAGGATCATGGTCATTCAAAGTAGATCAGGACTGGGAGGGTCGTCGTCAGCAACAACGTCCAATCAGAGCGTCCCCGACTCCCGATGAAAAAAGGGAAAGGGTAGGGAGGGGGAAGGAAGGAAAAAAAAAAAGAAAAAAAGGGGGGGGGGGGGAGATATAAGCAAAGTCAAATGGGAGAAGTCAGAAAGAGAGAGAAAATAGAGAGAAGAAGGGTAGACGGAGACATAATCTATCAAATATACAGTGCGTCAGTAGAATAATACACTGAAGGCCTAGGTTGAGAATGTCAAAGGTGCATATGTTGGATCCCAACCTAGACCCCCCACAGCGATGCATAATCCAAGGAGGAGGTTGCTCCAAATGAAGAGTGACCCTCCTATACAAAAAAAACATTAAGTGAACCCTCCATCAAATGTGAAGTGAAGAGGCCATCTCCTGTGTTAGATAAGTAATCCAATGCAAGAGGGAAAACTCTATCGCTAAAGGAGATCAAAGAGATACAGGAGAGGTGATTCAAAGAACTCGTGACCGTGACCATAAGCACCTCCACCCCCCAAAAGAACGGTAAAGGAGAGGTTAGACACCAACCCAGGCCGTGGCAGCAGAGTCCCCATGGGTATAGATATAAATATATATACATAGAGAGAAGAAAAAAAAAAA